ACCAAATAATTTTTTTTAAAAGAATAAGGGGGAGATTGAGATAAAACAGGACATAACAATAGAACAATAGAGGTCAAAGCATGACTGTTTCAGCAACCTAGTACTTCACCACCATATAACCCGACTTAATAGTAGTTACATAGTGTCTGTCTTTTTCCTTGAAATATTTGGATAAAACTTCATATACTCTAGCTTCAAATATTTCCATATCAAGAAGCCCAGAATAAAGCCTTATATCTTTTCCTCAATCAATTTTAGTTCAAGCCAAATAAGTGCTCATAAGTTTATTGGGGGTAACACGGGGAAAGGCTGCCTTCACTGCTCTAAAAAAAAAAAAGCAGGAGAGAATATGTCGAAGTCCTTCCAAAGCACATTTTGAGGGAAAGGTGGGGGACGAGTGCCGGGAAGGTGGGGCACTGCCATCTGTGCTACTGAAGCTCCGTTTGCTTCCACATTTTGGCGTCACGCGCGCTGTGGACGCGGAATGCAGGCGGTAATGAGGTGGAGCCAGGGCAGCTCTGGGCTGCGTGGGGAGGGATGAGCTGTGTTCAAGCCAAAACAGACAGAAGGGAGAGAAACCAGAAGTGCCCTGGGAGGGCCGCAAGGTGTTCCATTTGTCTCACTATCCGGCCCCCTTTAGCCTAAGATTGGCAAGTGCCAGGTGAACATTACGCAGGCGACAGCCTCCTCGCCCACGTGCTCCACGTGCTCCTGCAGCCACTCCACAGTGGGAGGAGCTGTCAGCAGCCCACGCACCTGAAGCCACCTTCCTGTCCACCAGCTCTTCGGAGCTTTGGGTTCTGCACCCTGGCTCCTGATCTCAAGGCCCCGAGGGCCTCTCAGCCCCTCCCCCTTCCTCTTGGATTTCACTGGCTAGGTCACCCTCACTAGGCCCAAGGTGTCCCTTACATAAGGGAGGCTGAGTTTCTGAAGCAGCAGCTTAGGAACGCTGATGGTTGCTACTCTTACCCTGTTTTGGGGTGGCTCCAAGTCTTCTGAATCCCCTAAAGCAGCTGCCCCAGCAGAATATCTTTGAGAGTGCTTTTGTGGAATGATACGGGATGTGTGTACTTGGCTTTGCTATGAGGAAAGCTGTGGTGTGTCTCCTGAAGACAGATTATTTCTATCTCTGTCTCTGTCTCTGTGTACCTAGCTCTATCATTATCATCTCCACCTCCATCCATGCAAACCTGCACTCCAACTCAAACCTGCCTCACCTCCATTCCTGTATATTTTCGGGTACATAGCTGGAGCATTCTCTGGTATTGAAAGCGTGAATGATAATGCAGGTCTATGTGTGTTGAAATGTAGTATGTGGAATAACCGTGCCTGTGACCCCTTAGGTGATTGTTTGTGAGATGATGTGACAGAAAGTGGTGTGTGCCACAAGGAGCCCTATGTGCTAGAGAAAATGTTTATGACTGAAAGCATGTTAGAAGAAGTGATGATTTGACAAGTAAATACTCATTTTAAAGGGCTTCTGAGTGTTACTGATCTTATGTAGTGCATAGAGTTAAAACAGATTATACATTAAAAATGGTAGGGGCTTCATGGGACCCAGATGTAAAGTGGTGGACTGAGGATGGCTGTTTGCAGGGATGAGGGGGGTAAGGTTGTGCCTATGCAGTGCTGTTAATGAATGGGACATAAAATGAACGAAACAGGAAAGAAGCAACGGGCCCAGAAAGCAGTGTGACATGTGCATGTGTGAGGTTGATTTTATGCTGGTCTGATGGGGAGGTGCTGAGCATTTTCCCTACACCTCTCTGCAGGGTGCACCGCCTCTCACGCACCTGTGCTCCCACGGAAACCTGTGCTCCCAGGGAAACCTGTGCTGAAGGGCTTTATTCTATTCTTGAAGGCATTTTTCCTGTGTGTCCCTTCCCCGTGTAGTCAGAGTCCCTTGGCCCTGAGGCTGTCTGCTGTGTGTGAGGAGAGACGGGCCGGAGGCTTCGGACAAGCAGCTCAGTGGGGCGCAGGTCACCTGTGCATTGCCCATGCCTCCCTCCTCACAGGCTGCACTGGCTGGGAAGGGACTCCGGAGCAATCCTCTGAGTTCCTTGAATTCTCTCTTGCTCCCTGATTCAAGTCTAGGATTTAGGGAACGCAATGAAAGAAACAAAACAAAAGGGTAGACAGCATGGAAATAGAAGTTCTAGGGTTGGAGGAAAAGAGGAAGGGAGAGGACGTAGAAAGAATTCAAATGTGACCTATGTATATACTGATGCCCTACATGTATGTATTCAGTGTGCATTATAGACAAGTACTAATGAAATTTTTTTTTTAAAAAAAGAAACATATGGAATTACATTAAGGTCTAAAACATAAGGATACAAAGTAGAGTGCATAAGATGAAGTGGCTAATAAGGAAATAGAAAATAAAAAGAAACATTGCACTCTATTTAGTTAGAGAAACATAGTATCTACTAATTTTACCAAGCAAAACTATGTTAGTACAGCAAAATATAGGCAACAGAATATCCAAAACGTCACCTTACTCTGTCCATGAAGAAAACAATCCTAATGTTCCACACAGTGTAATCAGTTATTCAATTATTTTTATTCATGCAAAGGAATATGCAATAATGAGATAAAGCCATCAGCGGTCATCTGCAACATGAGTGATATCCACATACATAAACATGAACTAAAAGGAAGCAGGCACAAGGTAGAGAAATTGTCCTTCTCTTCACACAAAATTTACATTCAACAAATAAAAGAATCCAGAGAACATAAATGTAGTGCCAGTAGGAGTCAGTCTTTAGCACTGTTTGGACAGTAAGAATAAAACTCAGCCTAAGGAATCCATAAGCACCTGGAATAGTAGAAGAAACTGGGAGGTAAGGACAGAGACTGCAGACGGGTGAGTATAGCATAGCAATGGGTCTGAGGATACCGGCTACGAAAACATGTAGATGTGAAGTGTGCTTGGATTGGGTGTCCCTGCATGCTATCTCAGGGGACTTCTTGTGAGGATCCTATGATGTGGGGCCTGACAGTCTGCTGTACACGACCCTGCCTCAGACTGACCTAACACCCCTGCGTGTCTCTGGTCACTCATCTCTGCGGTAGCTCTCCCATGATTTCCTGAACAGAACCCAGTACTCCACTGAGTTTGGAGCTCTCAGTTGTGTTTTTCTTTCGGTATTTATTGTCCCCACTTCTGCTTATTACTGTTGCTTGTGTAAACCTATGTGGAGGATCTTTTCCAGTTTCTTTCTGGGCAGCGTTGAATCAACTGATCAGCAGAGACATTCAGCTCCTCTGTGGGCTACACCTAGACCCTACCTTACATTTGCATTTTATTTAAGCATTACTTCATACATGCACCAGTGAAACTGTTCAGAAGAGAAGCAATTTGAGGAAGATATGAGGTTCTCTTTCTGATCTGGAGTTAGGGCTACTTCATTGTTTCTCCCCTGCAGCTTATCTTGTGCAAAAGAAACCAAGATAAGTGGCTCGCGTTTGGTGTTCATGGGTATCTATCTCTGCTGAAGGAAATTGTAGGAGTCTAGTATTTGACATGTTCAGTGAACGTATGTAAATAGTTCAGTAGTATGTTTTCTATTAGCAAAATTTTTAAATGTAGAAAACAATATTGATTCTGTCAGATCACTTTATTAGCTGGTACTATACTTAACTGAGCTGCTTTGTAGTTAACTGTGATCAGATGGTTATGTTTCCTACAAGGGAAAATGAGTAGAATTGACACGTGTCACTTCTGAAAACTCTACATCTCCCTGTGAACTTTCCTTTAGCTGTGGAATGGCATGTTGGTCAACCCAGGTCTATTTGAATGCTGTCAGTGACCACCTTGTTGTCTACCATCTCAGGCTATGAACTCTCCTGCTGACAGCATATTCTGCGCTCATATGGAAGCTGTAGCCTCATGATGTATCACTTTCTGTAGCTTGATCTGTTCGTATCAAGTCAGCTTGTGATGTGTTATTGAGAGAAGACAATCTGATTTCATAAATTGTAACAGAATGACTTGGTTTGATTGTAGTATTTACATTCCCTGGCCTTTTTGGTTTTGTTCTTTGTGGTCTAGGTACAAGCAATTCAGATATGTGTTTTAGATATTTCATAAACGTCTTTGAATACATGCTCATTTCACTGAAGGTGAGCTAAAGCTGATTTCATCTCCAGACCTTTCCCTTCAAGGAACCATAGGAAAACCTACAGGCCTCAAACTATGCTGGCGGAGTGAGACTATTCTCAGAGAAATGAGCCACTCTCTGGATGTTGGGGTTGGCTCCAATCTGTCCTCCTCCCACCCCTCAACTTGGTCCTGCTTCCTAGGAGTCCTTTGTTGTCAGTCTCCAAGGTAAGCACAAAGGTGTAATTTCCAATTTTTGCTCAAATTGCCAAGTCTCATCACCTTAATTCACAGTTCATGGTTAAATAGTGTTTGTGTTCATGTGAGCTTGTGTATTTGTGTGTTTATGTATCCTGGTTTCTCTAACATTTAACAGAGGAGCCCTGCATCAACATGTCCATAGTCTGAAACAAAAAATGTGCTGTTGACAAAGTAAGTTCTTTCTGACTTTATACTTCTTTCTCCATAAAGTTTGCTCACTTCTATAAGGCACAGTCTCTTTTTCACCAAAACTTTTAAAAAATTTTGTTAAAAAATTTATAACATCATTTACTTCCCTGGTGCTCTTAGGAAGCAGTCAGATGAGAGAAAGTGCACTTTTAAATGAAAAATTAGTCTACACTACATCTGTAAGTCAGCAGAAACCCAGAGGGAGTCTATATAGGCAACCTAGGCCTTAGGCCAGAGAAAGTCCTGGGTCATCTCATCCGTCTCAGACCACCTCCTCTCACGAACACACACACACACACACACACACACACACACGCACACTTCTCCCCTTCACCCACTTCTCTCCCGCTTTCTCTCTTCTCTGCTACTGCACCACAATCTACAGATTCTCTCTTGTCCTGTTTAGGAGGCAGTCCCTGGGGCCCTGTTCCCAGAATATGCTAACACTTACCTCTGAATCTCTGTTCAGCTTGTTCTAACAGTGAGGGTTCAAGGTGTTTCTTTCTTCTTTGGTGCTTCATGGCTCAAGTCTGGAGAATTGCTGATGTCAGGTAAGTTTCTATCTTAACCTGCTTTAAAAAGTCAGATGCTGATGATAAAGAATGAGATGTATATAATCAAAAAGCAGTATGTAAGCCAAGGAGCCTAATACTCACTAGGACTTCCTCCAGAATAATTAATGCTGAGCACACACTGCGGTTGAGGTCAGTTATAACTGAAGCCTTGGCAATGGTTTATGACCTGTCCATGACACCCACAGAGTTCCAGAACCTACCCAGAATTCATAGCACTGAAGCCCTGCTAAAACCCAGTGATTAAGCAGATGTCCATCTTTTATCTGGTGGAAATTCTATTGTTAATGTTACTTTCATATCTTGTACTTCATAACCAAAGGGAACACACAGGATATCGATTAAACAAAGGGAAGCCTTGTGTGTCTAAGCGCACTGTGTCACTACTTCTCCCCAGTGATGGTGATACAGCAGCACCATGGAGGATTAGGCTTACTGCTGTGCTTGTCTCTCTAAACATTGTGAATGCTGTGTCTGATCTTCATAGTATTTAAATTATGTAGAGGCACATGTGAGATCCATATTGATATACAGGTATAGAATTGAAACTACTTGATACATTCATACAATTCTAGCATTTATTGGGTTTCTCCTGTTCCTAGGACCATTTCTATGTGTCTTCCAGAGCAGAAATCTGTCTCTTGTCACTCTTCTTTATCACTTCCCCATTGGTTGGGAGACAAATAAGGATTGGTTTCATGAAGCCTGGTCTTTGGGAGGAATTCTCAAGACTGACGGTCTCATTCTGTAAGATTATGCTGCTGTCCCTTACCTTTCCTTTGGAGACACCTGGGTCTTGTTCAGAATTTCAACTCAGAGATTGATTTATTTTACTTCTTACTGTTACGGAATGTACCTCATCTGTTAGACTTAATGTAGGTTTCTTCATACCTTAATGATTTCCATTAGATCCAGACTGTGGCTTCCTCTACCCCATTGGAGCTGTCTGTGGTTGTTCTTCTTATCCCTGAGGACTGAACGCTAGGCATGGCTACTCAAAAGTTCTTACGAAACACCCTATCTCCAAATGTCACAGGAGGCAGGGTTGTGTACACAATACCCAACACCCTCCACTGGAAGGAGGAGAGGTTTGTTTGGATCACACATTCCAGTGGGTTAGAGTGTCAGACTGCTGTCACGAAGGCAGAAATGACACCGTGGACGTGCTCTGCTCATTCCATAGCAGCCACGAAGTAGAATTGGGAGCAGCCTGAGTCATAATTCACCCTTCTAGAGCATCCCACTCTGGTCCACATTCAGACAGGGTCCCACCTCCCAGCTGCACAGCTAGCCACCAATGAATGAGTCTACTGAAGAACTTAGTGCCCCACAATCCAAGAAGCTTTCCAAAGCCCCACCACAGAACATGTGAGAGTTTTTCAGATGACTTTGGATCAAACCATACTGTGCGCTGTGTTCTTCAATAAATGAATTGGAAGGGACAAAATTTAATCTATAACAACCTCCCAGGTAATTTGTCAGGTGGGTGCTTTCCTAGGTCATATAATATGATCTTATACATAGCTTATGTTGCAGTCCTTTTTCATGCTATGCTTCTTTAATGTAGGCCATCACTTTTTGATATCGTGCCAGAGGCCTTTCTATCAGGAGATTATTAAGAGCAGAGTTATTAGTAAGAGCAGAGTTCTGAAACCCCTGCCCCAGTACTAAGTGCTGTTATGGGAAATTGTTCACATTTTGGCAAACCATCCAATTTACAGCAAGTTTCATGCAGCTTCCCAGGAGAAAGCCCCTTCAAGGTCCTGTCCCAGGAATGCTGTCCTAGTTCCAGCTGGTCTCGGCCACCCAGGTCATGCAGCTCCTTTGGCAGGTGGCCCTTCCCTTCCTTTGTGGACCCAGTGCTTCCTCAGGTGGGTCACACTTGGTTTAATGCCAAGTTCGTAGTCCTCATATCAAGAGTCAAGACGAGGGCAAACCCACATGTAGGCCAGAATTGTCTTATACGGTATCTGCCTTAGCTGATGTTTTTCCATGGTATTGAAGTAAGGGGGAAAGGCTGAAAACCCAGGACATTCAGATGGATCAAAGTTCCAGGAACTTTACTTAGATACCTCCATCCTAATTCCGAGACTGAAATCTTACAACTCTGAGCAGGATTTAAATTTAACTAATTGGCTTTTTATGTTCATCTGTGACTTTGTCCTGGGCCTTGGCCCCTTGCCTGGTGACAGGAGCTGATTTATAGTAAGTGAACCTTATGAATCACTGGTTGTGACTGAGGCCTATAGGGCCTGTGAGGCCTGAGATATCTCAAAGGGCAAGATAAGGCCACAGCTCTGGACACTTGGTTCCAACCCCAATTAACAAGATAGAGACTGCAGCTGCAAAAATTATTCCTACTCTCTCACTCCTACCATGTCTTCATGATAAGAGAAATTCATTTAACTGACTTCATTCATTACTTGGAGACATCATTAAAGTGATTCCCAAGGTCCTGTTCATTGCCTGCACTTTCCTCAGTTTCCATTTAAAGGGTTTTGATCCTCTTGGAACAGCATGGAATGACAACCCAGCAGCTTCATGATGATGCCAAGAGCAACAATATAAGATTAATAGGTCATCAGTGAAGATGCAGGAGTCAATGCAAATGACATACCTAAAATATTTACAGAATTAATAGCAGAAAACATCCCAATATGGGGAAAATGTGATATGCAGATAAGTGAGGCATATAGAATGCCAAACAGTCACAACCAACATAAATCTATACCCAGACATAATAATATCACAGACATAGAGGGTAACAGAACACTAAAACCTGTTAGAGAAAAGACACAACTCACTTATCCAGGAAAGCGCATTAGATTCACAGCAGACTTTTCAGTACAAACCCTCAAGTCAAGACGAGATTGGAGTGAAGTATTTCAAGCCCTGAAAGAAAACAAATTTCAACCCAGACTGATGTACCCAGCAAAGCTTTCATTCAAATTTAATGGAGAAATAAGATACTTCTATGACAAAGAACAACTAAAGAAATTCACATCCACCAAACCAACCCTAGAAAGACTATTGACAGACATAGTAGATAGAGATAAAAATGACCACAATCCTCAGAACAACATCAGAAAGAAACCACCAGATAGGACAAGCAATTAAACAAGGCAGGAAAGCAGAAAGCAAACAACTGGAACATAACATGGCAAAGTTGAGCCAGTTCATATCAGTGATATCCATAAATGTAAATGGCCTCAATTCACCTATCAAAAAAAATAGATTGACAGAATGGATCAAGAAACACGATCCCACAATATGCTGTATACAAGAAACACATCGGACACAAAAGGAAACTCATAGATTAAAAGGCAAAGGATGGAAAACAGTATTCCATGCAACAAGAACCCAGAAAAAAGCAAGGGTAACTATTCTATTTGCAGACAACATGAACTTCAAACCTAAAATGATTAAAAGAGATAAAGAAGGTCACTACATACTGATTAGTGGAAACATGAACTTCAAACCTAAAATGATTAAAAGAGATAAAGTCACTACATACTGATTAGTGGAAAAATTCAAAAAGAGCAACTAACAATTATAAACACATATGCACCAAATACTGGAGCACCCAACTATATAAGACAGATACTAATGGACATAAAAAACCAAATACACAAGAATACAATTATAACAGGGAACCTTAACACCCCATTGTCACAGAGATAGATCAATTAGACAAAAAGTCAGCAAAGAATAATAGAACTGAATCATACCTGTGCACAATTGGACTTGGTAGATGTTTACAGAGTGTTGTAAACCACATCAACCCAACCACATCAGAATATACATTCTTTTCATCTACACATGGGACATACATCATCCCATAAAACATTCTGAAGTAACTGCAAAGGTATTGAAATTATCCTATGCATAATGTCTGACCATAGCACACTGAAATTGGAAATTAATGCAAATCTGCATAAGTACATGGAAATTGAATAACAACCTTTTGAACAACCAGTGGGCTATAGGTAAAATTAAAGAAGAAATAAAGCAATATCTACAGTTCTATGAAAATGCAGCATACTGCAATCTGTGGGATGCAAAGAAAGTGGTCTTAAGGGGATGTCATGGTTTATGTCGGTGGCCCCCAAGCCTCATGCTTTTGCATTATGCATTTGTGATTGGTTCATTTTCTGGCACATAGATTGGGAGTGTGAGTGCTACATGGGAGTAGGGGTGGAGCAAGATGTGATGTAATGGCAGGAAGAAGGCGTGTCTCTCTCTCTTGCTGGTTTCTGCCTTGCTGTTTGCAGCTGCCAGGAACTGTGACGCCACCGTGCCACCCTGTCTTGGAGTCAACTGAGTATGGACTGAGACCTCCAACACCTGTAAGAAATAAATCTTTCTTTTCCCAAATTTGGGCATCAGTTAATTTGTCTCAGCAACCAGTAAAAAGTAACTAAGACAGAGGGAACTATATAGCAATAAATTTTTATATCAAGAAAACAGAATAAGCACAAATAAACAATCTAATGCTTCATCTCAAGCTTCCAGAAAAAAAGCAAGCAAGATAAACCCAAAACTCATAGAAGAGAGGAAATTGTAAAGATTAAAGCAGAAATCAATGCAATTGAAACTAAAAAAATAATACAAAGATTTAGTGAATCAAAAAGCTGGTTTTTTGAGAGGATAACCAAAATTGACAAGCCTCTAGCTAACCTTATAAAGAAAAAGAAAAAAAATTCACGCAATAAGGACTGAAAATGAAGAAATTAAGTCAATCCCATGGAAATTCAAATGATCATAAATACCTACTTTGAAAATCTATACTCACATAGAGTGGAAAACACAGAAGAAATGGACAGATTTCTAGAAACATATGAACTACCAAAGCTCAACCAAGAAGATATAACAATTTTGAGTAACCTAATATAATATCAGTTGTTGAAATTGAAAATGTAATTAAAAACTTACCAACAAAGAAAGCCCAGGTCCTGATGGATTCACAGCTGAATTCTACAAGAAATTTAGAGTAGATCTGATGCCAATACTCCTTAAATTCTTCAATGAAATTGAAAAGGAAGCAATCCTCCCTAAATCATTCCTGGAAGCATGTATTACTCTCATACCAAAACCAGGGAAAGACCCAACCAAAAAGGAGAACTATAGGTGCTAGGGATTTAGCTCAGCGGCATAAGCGCCTGCTTTGCAAGCGGGCA